GGCGGGGAGGTCAGGTGGGGCCTCTGACAGTGGAAGCCCAGATCCAGCACAGGCAGCAGCGCCACCTGTGGGCCAGGGGGTGAGAGGCAGCAGCCTGGGGCCACACTGTCTGGGGTTTCTTCCCACCTTCTCCCCTAATACCCACCACCCCCAGGCCCTGTCCCCTCTGGTTGAGTCAGGTTCCCTTGGCACCTAACTAGAGTGCCCTGGGACTGCTAGGATGGGCCCAGGACTTGCAAGTAACCCTAGACTCTCAGAGGGTCCTGGGATCCCCTTGGGACACAGAGAAGAATGGGGTTGGTGAGCTGGTAGCAGGCTCTCCCGGAAGAGTCCTGCCTGGGGCAGGCACTTCATGGGCTTGGCAGACACCCCGGTGGGCAGAACCTGGAAGCCCTCCAGGCTCTGCCTGGATCCGGTTGTTCCTGCAGCTGCTGTTATTCCTGACTCTGCAGTCACGTGAATCAACATCATTCTAGATGCTCCAAGCAGTCAAATTGCTTCGGGTGTCTCGATGGGGCACGAGAGTTCTATGTGGGGCCAGGGAGAAATCAGGGCAGCCCCCTCTGGGCCCACCTGATCCTGAGCTCCTGCTTCTGCAGCTCTGGGTTTGGGGAGATGGAGACCCGCAATGGCCTTTCCCGGTTCTGCATCTTCATGGTGAGGAGGGACTGCCTCCTTGGCTCCTTCTTCTGGGAGACCATGTCCTTGCGGACCTGTGGGGGAGGAGAGAAGGGAGGTGGGGCTGTCCTGAGGCCCATTAGGTCTTCTGGAGCCCAGCTGGGCGGGAGCTTCAGGGCCCCTTTGTTGGCAGGGTTTGGGGACTTGAAAACCAAGTGGCTTCACCAGAGGGACTGAGGCAGACAGGACCCACAGTGGAGTCAGTGTGGGGCGCTCGGGGTGGGCAGTGAGTGTCGAGTGAGGTTTGGGGGAGCTGCCATATTGGGGAGAGCAATTTTCACAGTTCCTTTGGGCAGGTGGCGTTTGAGGGTTACAGACAAGGAGCCTCCAGCCCCAACATAGGTAGGAATGGGCACTGGAGTAAGTCCCAAGGTCCCGATGGAGCCAGGCCATGACCTGGCTCCCATGCAGGGCAGCAGCTCCTGTCCCACCTCTCCGCCACCCCCACCCCCCTGGCCTCCTAACGCGACTCCCCATTCATACCCCAGAAGCCAATCTGCCCTCCAGCTCCTTGCTCAGGGCCTGCAGGGCTTCCTGGCGCACTAGCTCCTCGGGTAGCACGGGCTGAAAGGCCACCTGCACCAGGCACTTCTGCGGGGAGGGCAGGAGCCAGCCTGAGTGCTACCATCCACCCCAGGGCTTCTGGCAGCTCTGCTGGCCCCTGCCCTCCTCACGTACCCCATGGCTTCCACTGCTGCCTTCCCTCTGGCAGTTCCTGCTTGGATGCCCCGCCTGCCCTCAGCGCTGCCCATCCCCTGTAGGTGGGCTGCCTAGCCATGGGTTGGGGGCCTGGAGAGGGAGGTGTTAAATGGGGGTCTGGAATGGTCCAGGCCCGCATCGAGCCTCCCATTTTGAGCCATGGAGGTGTGGGGGGTGGGGCAGGAAGGGTTCCTTGCACCCTAACTTGCCAGCCCACCATGTCAGCCTTTTCAAGCCTGGATCTGTTCCCTCTGGTACCCTCCCCCCCCCACCAGATGTTCCCTACGTGACAGGGTGTGGGGGTCACGCATGATGGCCTCCCAGCGCCTGGGTTGTGTACCTGATGGAGAGAGACCGCGAGGGAGATGCAGAGATCGAGAGAGAGACAGAGAGAGAGGCAGACAGCAGAACCTCCCGGGCGCAGGCTGAGGATGCTGTTCGGTAACACGTGGAGCGGATGTACACTGTCGGTTGAGCTGCACTGGCCTGGAGCCTGTTCTGCTCGGTCCTTTCCAAAGCCCTCGGAATGGCTGTCACCCCCTCTCTGAGAGTCAGCAGTGAAGCTGGGTGCTGCGAGCCTGCGCTACGTCTGCCCTCTCAGATAAAGTGTGTGTGCGCCAGAGAACAGAGCTGGTGAACGGCTGTGTGGCCTGGGGCCAGGGCACGCCTGGGTGGCTGGGGACCTGTGAGTCTGCCTGTGACTGGGGAAGGGGGTGGGCAGCTCAGGGTAGCCCCGGGGTGGCCTTGGTCCTGCACTCGTGGGCCACAGAGGCCCTGACCCGGCTTGGTTCATTTCCTTCCGCCACCCAGTGACTCCCTGTGATCAGAGTCAGCAGCTCACGCCCTGCCTGCCCGTGGGACCAGCACCCACCTTTCCTGGCAGCACTGTCCCCACTGAGGGGGAGATGGTGATGGGCACATCCGGGGGCAGCAGGAATTCGAACGATGTGGGTCCCACAGGGGCGGGCTCCTGGGAGCCGATGCGTGGCACGGAGTGGGTCATCATGTTCATGCTCAGGTGAGAGTTGATGACATAGAGGGTGGCCACGGAGGTGTCGTACAGGGGGGTGGCTGAAAACTTGATTTGGTAGTGGGACAGCTCCAGGGGTGGGTGGACCCCCACAGCCCGGCAAGAGAGCTTGAACTCCCTGGGGAAACAGAAAGCTGGCTCAATCTGGGTCCCTAGTGGGGATCAGGGACATTGAGGGAGACACCTAGGTACAGACATGCCTATCCTTTGTTATCCACCCGCCGCCCCGCCCCCCCCCCCCATCATCCACTCAAACCAACCCTGCCCTCAGTCTGTCATCCATGTAACCTGTTATAGCGGCCACCCAGTGTGCCACTTTACTCACGGCCACTCAGCTGGTTCTCCCTCACAGCAAGCCCTCTCAGACAGGGTCTCTGAACCTCTTCATCTTTATGGGACCAGAAAGCCTCATCTTTCTCCCAGGGAACAGATGGTGGGTTTTGAACTGCTAGCCCTGTGGTTGGCAGCCCAAAGGTGCTGCCAAAATGCTCTGCCACCAGAGCATTTTGCTTATGATCCTAATAGGGAAGCAAACACCCCTACCCCTGGGTGGTCTGGGTGGTTTGAATCTTAAGGGAGGTGGTGCAACGCCCCCCGACAGAGGAAGGGGGGGAGGTGACAGCTGAGAAAACTCTCTGGCGCACTCTCTCCTCTGTGACGTAGGGGGCGATCGGGAATCTGAGTCAACCTGATGGCAGTGGGTTTGGTTTTTGTTGTTTGTTAAGGGATCTTGAAAACACTACATGCTCTATTGCAAAGGCATTCGACTCTGTGGACCGTAAGAAGCGGGGGTTTGTCTTGAGAGGAATGGAAAATCCAGGACGTTTCACCGTGCTCATGTGGAACCTGTACATGGGTCAAGAGGCAGTTGTACAAAAAGCACAAGGGACTACTGCGTGGTTTATAATCAGGAAAGGTGTTTGTCAGGATTGGATCCTTTCACTACTTTTCCCCGTCTCGGAACCATTCTGGGACACCTGCATTTGGCAAATTTGGGTCTTCTCCACTTTCACGGGATTGGCCATTACAGAATTGGTTCAAGCTGGTTTAAAGCTCTATTTCTATATTCCCCCCAAACTCTTATTTCCTTTGCCATTTTCCCACTGAATTTTACCCTAATGACTTAAAAAAAATAAAAATGCTTTGAGGGATGAAACCGGTCACCCAGCAGACTTGTCTGAAACAAAAATGGCCATGTGTCCATGTATTTCTCTATTTTAATCCTGTGACCATGAAGCTTTACATGTTAACATGAAACCATTCCTCTGGACGTAGAGATCCCTGCAGTGATTCTTAGCGCTCAATTCCCTGAGCACTTCAGTATACAGAAAAGCGATGAATGATCATTGCACACCCACAGGAAAACTGTGGGACACTGCGCTTGGGCCAGATGGATGGCCCCTGGCTCCCCATTGGGCCTGGTCTCTCTGGGAGAGCCAGGCTTGTTTGAAGGGAGCTGGGGGCTTTGGTGTGTGGTGGGAGTGCTGGAGACTGGAGGTCACTTTGTCCCCATGTTGTTCATCCCTTTGACCTGCTTTTGGTTTAGATGCCAAGTCACACAGTAACACACCCTACGTGAGTTTCTGATGCTCAGTCAAGTCACCCAGGCTCTCCCAAGAGGTTTGTCTGATGCACCACACGTTTCAAGACAAAGGGGTTTAATCCAGTAGTTCCCAAAGTGGATGATACCATGCACCCGTCCCCCAGGGGTGGTGCTAGAATGATCCGGGGGGGCTGTAGATACCACACTTTATTCTGGATTATGGGCTAAAGTATACAAGGTTTTAATTGCCCGGGGGCACTGAGTAATTTTTTTTTCCTGAAAAGGGGGTGGTGGGCCAAGTAAATTTGGGAATGCATCATGTAACCTAATCCATTCAGAAAGGACTTGACACTAGCTAGTATCTCCGATGGGGCCACGGTGCTTTGATCTCAGCAAGTACTGGAACAATTTCCTTTCCCCCCAGAGGCACTGGGATAAAGGTTAGCTCATTCAATGCTTGGAAGATGTTCTGCATCAGGCCCTGGGGGCTGAGCCCACCTCTCTGTCTAAACCATTGGCCCAATTGAGTCTGATTTCGCTTCCAAAGGCAAACTTCCGGCTTCACTTTCAGTCCCCGTGGCATGCTGAGGACACCTGTTCCCAGACACCCATCCGAAGCATTCTGACTTCCTGGTCCCTCACTGTCTCGGCTGCATGGGCCCAGGAATGGAACCAGCTGGAGGTGTGGCCACTGCCAAGGTGCTGCTCAAGGTCATGCTGGTCCCTTCAAGGGGGGGTGGGGAGTGGGCGGGGGGAATGCTTTCCTTCTGTTTGTAATCTGGAAGGTCTGTAATGACATGTCTGGAAGGACCCTCCAGTGGAGCCACCTGGGTGTGGATTTCCACAGCGGGTCCGTTCCACACTTCAGATTTGATTTCTTGAATCGTTGTGAAAATGAGTCCGGTTTTTCTAATTTTGTCCTTGTGTCCATTTTGGGAGGCTCTGTTTGTTTGTTTGTTTGTTTGGAAGGGGGCTGGAGTGCGGATAGGAAGACCTCCGTCACGACAGAGGGTGTTGTCAGCTCTCTCCAGGTTCTCATGGGCCTGTGGCCCTCATTCCACGCCACAGGCACAGGTGGGTCTCACATTTGCCATGGAAGGTTGTGTTGGGTGAGGGTACTGGAGACGCAGCCACACAAACGAGTCAGATCCCTCGTGGGCGGTCACTTCGGTTGTGGCCAGGAGCTGGGGCTGTGGAGGTGGCCCCTGACCGCACAGGCTGTAGGGCTTCAAGCTGTGTGGACTTGGAGGCAGGGTCTTAAACCCAGTGTTTTCCAAAGTGGGTGACTGCACCCTGGGGGGTGGGGGACT